AACCAAATCTAGGAAAACTTATATCCAAACTAAGTGAAAGCACGGAGTAAGCGAGCGTGAGATTGAGAGAGGGCAAGAAAGAGTGAAGAAAAAGTTACAGATGTGAGTTTTATCAATTTAACACCCTTATTTTTGGGTTTTACCATTTTAAACTCATTTATGACCTATTTAGTGAATCTAAATAATTCAAATAATATTTCAGCCTATCAAATATGAGTTAAGAAATGGGTTTGATAGGTCTACCTACACATAAATATTAATAATTCATTTTTTTTCTTTTATTTTTCCTTTTTGGTTTTCTAAGAAGAAATAGGGTGGGGAGGGACAACCGGATTAGCTACTTTAGTCATTACCATGAGGATCCCAAAGTCGCCACGGAACGTCCCAATAATTAGAATCGTGGGGTAGACTTTATATTCCATAATACTAGCAATTTATGGATATGAGGTAGGCGACCTTGTCATTGTAGACACACAAGGTGCTAGAGGTTGAGGTTTCATTCACCAGGACAAAATATACGAGAAAAGTGTAAAAAAAGTCATAATTTTTTTGCATTTGTGCCAATTTAGTCCTAAACCTTTTTTTGATGCTAATTCAGTCATAAACCTTTTGTATTGGTGTCAAGTGAGTCATAAACCTTTTTTTGGTGCCAATTTAGTCATAAATCTTTTGTATTGGTACCAATTCAGCCTTAAACCTTTTGCATTGGTACCAATTCAATCCTTCCTACTAATAGCTATCCACATGTCGAAGGACTGAATTAGCATCAATGCAAAAGGTTTAGGACTGACTTGGCACCAATGCAAAAGGTTTAGGACTAAATTGGCATCATAAAAAGGTTTATGACTAAATTGGCACAAATGCAAAAGGTTTAAGATTGAATTGGCACAAATGCAAAAGGTTTAGGACTGAATTGACAGTAAAAAAAAGGTTTAAGACTCATTTGGCACAAATACAAAAGGTTTAGGACTGAAATGACACAAAAAAATGTTTAGGACTAAATTGGCATAAATGCAAAAGGTTTAGGACTTTTTTGAGACTTTTTCCCAAAATATACGCTCTACTTCTGCAAGCGAGTAGGCCACTAGGAATATTAGCCTCATGCCACTATGCAACCACCAACGCAAGTCGTCTATTCTATATGCCGATATATCTTTGTTTTCTTTCTCTTATAATCTGTCTTTAAATGAGGATCTCGATTCTTTCGGTTTGCTAATGGAAGAAAATGCAATATTATGGTTTCTGTTAATTCTTAAAGAGTAGCAAATCTCATAACCCAATCTCAGCAAACTAAGAGGAGGAGAGGCAAGGGTAAAGAAAGGAAATTTAAGATCCTAAATTCGACAAAATTTAAGTTGTTGAACCAATCAGAATGTCAAATTCATTTTAAGCTAGTTTGGATCCTATGACAACAAACTATTTTCACAGGATTCATGTATCATCGATATTTTAGCTCGGATTTTCGGAGTGTTTTTAGCTGGCATGCTTCCAATATTTCATTATCCATGAAATCATTTTCCTAAAAAAAATCAGATTTACGTCCATATTTGTCTTTCCAAAAGGCTATGCTCGCCAGGATAAAATAAGAAAATTTAAATAACATGCCTAATTTGATGTAAAAGCATATCAACTCTTAATGGAGACTCCTTAAAAAAATCAGACCTTCCATCTTAGAAGCGATCTTTCTTGTATGTGCTCATCTATAAAAACGTGTGGTCCTTCTCTTGATGTTCTCGTCTCTCTTCTTTCTTACGTTGTTCTTCCTACATCAGTGTGTCTTGGTAAAGGTCTGCTAATCTCGGATTTGTATGCATTTTGGGATTGACTGAAGCAGGAAGTCTTGGACAAGCATTGCAATTCAGAAATCGGCTCAACCTTCGTCGTTTCAGACCATCTCTCGCAGGTGGTGCCAGAATAATTCAGCAAAAGATGCTTAAGTGAAGCATGCATGGCTGGTGGTGATGGGAATCAGGTTTGTGACATTATAGGTCGAAGTCACGCTAGGGCTTCGGGCATAATTGCAATCTATGAGTTGGGCAACGAAAGTAGACTCGAAAACGATTAAAAATACAATTCGATTACTTCATAGGAGGGTGTGAATTTGGAAATCTCTCTAAATTTTAGTCACGGACCGCGCTTCTTCGAATACATCTATTACATTGATGAGAAGGGGACAGGGAAAGCTTGAACCCAATTCTTATCACGGCTTTTGGAGTGTTTCTCACCTCTCACATTCATCATGAGCATCAACTGCATGTAAGCCAGTCCAATCGAAGTGGAACGAGGAAATCAAATGGCTATTGCGGTTGTGGATGAACTACCCAAAACAGGAGAACCAAAGTTTTATGATGGAACGAAGTTCAGATTGCAAGGGAATGGATTAGGAGAACAAAAATGACTAACATTTATCACAAAGGTTATCAGCAAACAGAAAGGTTGATTTAAAAGGGATTGATTGACAGCTCATCAGAGAGATTGTCAACAACAAATGAGTAGAGTTATCAACCAGTACCATTGATAGTTGACATCGCTTATTGATGGTTCATCAAGATAAAATTTACAAAAGATGTGTCGATTTCGACAGCAATTGATGATTCCAATACTATCGACAGCTAATTATCCTAATGACTTTGGAAGTTGTAATTTCTAGTGGATAATGATTATCATCGTATGAAAAACATGCCTATGATCTCCTTGTACGTAATTGTTGTTAGTAGGCTATAAATAACCACGTTGAATGTTGTAAAATCTCCCTCTCTTTTCAAAGACACTCCAGTCAATATAGTTTTTTATGTTCCTTTTATCTTGTTCCTCGCTAATTCACTATTCCTGCATTTCATATTCCAGATGTTATTATTTACATAGCTTAATTATGAGCAAAGTAAAATCCTTTCCAAGATGAACACATAACCCCTTTCTCATAAAAAAAAGTAAAATCAACCTTTATGGTGAAAGATTTTTCACTTTATGAGTGAAACACGATGAAAGCTTTGCCAACTCTAGCAAAAGTGATACCTCCCCTAGAGTTATATAGTTCATTACCTTCACATGGTAGCTTTAATTTTTTTTTAATTTCTTGCCAGAACTTGGCATTAAGTTAATTGATATTCAAAATCTCCTGCAATTATTACCGATAGAGACCATTATTATGCGGACAACATGAAAAAAAAAATGGTGACAGGTGAAATTGCAAAAAAATGCGAATCTAAATTTTCGTTATTTTCTAATGAAAGTTGCATGTCTAGAAATATGATTTACTACTGATACTGTAAAGTGCCTCTGTTTTTCCTTTCCTGTAGAATTGGAAGAGTAATGGACACTGACTATGGAGTTCAATTTTAATTGCAGAAACTAGAACCTAAAGCAGCCATGGAGTTCAAAACCAAAGATCCACGTGCAAATTTAGAACGCCAAGTAATGCGAATGAACATACTAGTCTATACTTCTGTACTTAATTAACTAATGCTAACAATCACGTGACTTGGGCGAACGAATTTGATTTTATCATAAGGGCGACGAGAAAAGACATTTGGATCAATGATAAGCAGCTTTTTATCCACTGAATCAATGCTACATCATGAGATCAATCGATTAGTACTGAATCATGCCGTAATGGAGTGAGAAAGCTCTATCTTTCCAGAATTATCTTGACTCCAAAACTCTCACAAAGCAATTACAACATCCAGCTCTGCCTACATTTACATAGTCACTTCATTCTTAATCTCAAATTAGAACCAACTCCACATATGATCTCTTTGATTTCCATGTCCCAGATAAAAAAGAACGTCGTTTCTTTTGTTGTATATGGCATGATATAGTATATCTCACAATTTCAAAGGTCCATTTCGAGTTTCAATGGAACAAATCTTGCATAAGGTAAAAATTCTAATGCTTGAAAATATTACATAAAATTAGGAGATGATTTTTCCAGATAGGATGAATTTGATCGATATTCCACCCTCGGTCAAATTCAACATGTAAGTTTAATCATTTACTCCAAAATGGCTAGGGAATTTTGTGGAAAATTATATCATTATATCAGAACATGCTAATGATTTATCATGAAGAGTGATTAAGGAATTAGATAACCGGAGTTAAGGGATTTCCTGAAGAGTAATATGGCTTATTTGGAGAAATTGATCTTCCAATTGAACATCCTCGTGGATAATATGAAATTGAAAGTATCTGCAGAAATGAATAAACATAACCAAATAGATTTCAAAGGGAGGAAGCCAATCATTCTTCAAAAGTAGTACTTTGAGTAGATTATAACTCAGATTTGCTTGTGATAGTCATTGACAGCTTATCCAGGATCAACAATCTTCGCTTGATGACTCATGAGATCTGACGTACATAGAATGCATTCTGATCATTGTCAATGTTATCAAGAGAATGATTTCTCTGAAGCATTATGTCATACTCTTTGATCAGCTTTCCCGCTCCTTGAATCACGTAGTAGAAGGGAAACAATACCCTGTTATCATGAAAAATGATTAAATCCAACATAATTATTTTATGTAAAAGGAAATAGACAAATTGAAAATTTTATCGACAATTCCCTATTTCATAAAAAAAACGTAAAATTTTGGATAGTAAGCATTTTTCAGCCGCATTTTTCGGCCCTAAATGAAACATACAAATAAAAAAAAGAACTAGCATACCCAAATTACAGCTGGTTCACGAAAAGGAATGTAAAGGAATAATAAAAGATTCTTCATTTCTCCTTTTTTTTGTTCTCTTGAAATTATGTTTGGTTGTTAAAAATAAGAACTTCGGATAGGAATAAAAATTTAAACTTGTTTGTTGTGTCTTTGCAATCCATCATTTTTGTTTTTTTGGTAAGGGAGGAAGCTCCCTTCAGTCCAATGCAATCCATCATTTTGTACTTTCTTTGAACTAATAATCCATCTTTTCATTTGGTGATTACAAAGTACCATAGCGGGCTATCAAGAAAAATGGTCTGATCAAGTAGGAAATGCTGATGATATTGGCAATAATTCTCTGCCATGAATATTGTGGCCTGCTTTATTTACATTCGAAATGAAACTTTTAAAAAGAAGTGATCCATTTTCAAGAAGCATCGAAACCTCTCCTTTCTATACATGCAACAAAAATCTTGGATATAGTCAAAGAGCCTATAAATTACTTGAGTACACATAGCCTTTTGTCTTTGACCACATTTACAAGCTAACTCTAGAACTTGATGAGTAGGCAAAATTCCAGCCAATGGCCTTATAGTAGAGTCTGTGGATAGACATGCTTGACTTTTATTGGGTACAGTAGCTTAAAGAGCGATGTGGTTCGGTCGCCAGTCTCTCAACTCTTTACTTTTCCAGGGCAGATGTAGTTACTGATAAGCAGGAAATGCTAGCACAAAACCATGGAATCCATAGGGTACCCTTTAAGGCAGAGTGATTTTTCCATTGGCTCGCCTTCAAACTTCTGTGCATCAATCCTGAGACTGTAGATTTCACAATTTCAAAATCATATCAAACATCATCACCGGTAGGCAAACCTACATGATGATTGTATTGAAACTCTTGAACTTAATCTGGGACACATCTGTTTCTTCATTAGGTACCCAAGAGACAATCCAACCACTGTCCTCTCCGACACCATCTTTCTTAGGGACAAGAATACACCCGTTGCAGAAGCTATCCTTTTCGAAATTATGGTACTAGACCTTCATCAACTTCTTGTGACATCTTCCTCTCTAATTCCAGGCCACAGTAAGGTACATTTCGACATGTACAATGGATTATCAGAATAACTTGAAACACTTTCGCTAATACCTCAGAGTCAAACAACCAAGGACAAGGTTCGTCGAAGTATAATTTCACTAGATTTCCATATTTAGCCATTCCTGAATCAAACAAGTGATGCATAAACAATAGGAATATGATCTTATGCACTACTTTGGGCAAGTGGACATGGACTAGAGAGTAGAGACTAGCATTGCATTACCCCATTTAGAGCTTGACTTTGAATTGATGACTTGAGTATAACCACACTTGTTAAGCAAGCCAGTCAAAATGGCATTTATGAAAGGGAAGTCCATAGAGAATTCAGTGCCCATAAGATTCGACTCCTGAACTTCCCCAATTTCCATGTTCAATCTCCACTCGTAGGCACAGGTAAACAAACAGCCTCTATGTTTGTTAGCATTTGCATCCATAAGTTCTCTAAAGTTGAATCCTCTCGAGAACCAATCAAACTTGTTCATACCCCAATTGGGACATGGAAACACCAATGTAAGAGCTCTGCATCTTCTCACCACAACCTGCATTGTTGGGCAATATCATTCAAATTGAGGCTTAGTCTAAGAGGATTTTAACCTTCAAATTAGGCTTCCAGGAAAAATATATCTCATAACCGTCCTGAAAGCAGCTGAATATGTGAATTGTGCAGCTTGATTCTACATAAAACCATTGGACTGAACTCATGTCTCCAAAATGTAGCATCACCCCTATCCTTGCATATCTTCCTCGTCATACTTCAGTAACCTACATTCCAAGAAAACGATTAGCTGCTTCAACAAACTAAAAAATCAAGTAATAGTTCAAGAAAAGATGGGCATTCATGGATTCAGATCCGCTCTCAAACATTCCAGGAGTGAAGTAAAGCACCCGTTTTAATTACTATGACGGACAACTCCTGTTCGTAAAGCAGGATGCAATGTAATCGGCATAAAGAATATCCCGTCGCATCCATATCCCAGATATTGGCTCGGATCACAAATCATTGCCAAAATTACAGTGAAGCTCTTGGTCATTTAAAGCATCACGGGCATGAGAAATTGTCATCACCAAATGAAGAATGGACAGAAGGATGCAAATTCGATATGTAAAGACACGGACTGATGGCACAAACTTGTGACATGGATATAGGCATGACAAAAGACAAGAAAGAGTGCAAGATGATTCCTACCCGTTTTTCCACCGTACAGGATGTCACTCTTGACAGCATCAAGGCCATAAATCCACCTTCAGATTGAGAAACCTATGCATTACCATCTCAATTGACAAACAAAGTAGAATATAGATCCATGGAATTTCATCATCTCAACATCAGTGTCCTATATCTGAGAAAAGTAAAAAATGTTATGATGGTGTCTTTGGTGGCTTATTAATCCATGACAGAATAAGTGGACATAAGCTACTAAAAATGCAATCAAAACCACATAGACATGAGTAGTTGCCATGATCATCAATCGTTGAAGTATTATTCCGCACTGGTTGAATAAAGGGTTTCAACAGGGGTTATATACATTGAGTCTTCCTATAACTAATAGTTTAAGCTTTTGGGTGGGACTTTTGCTAATAATGAATGAAGTTCTATTTTATTATGCATGAATAAATGAAAGAATCACATAATAAACATCCAATGCTCTAGGAAACCAACTTTAATAGAACTTGGAAAATGGTATAACTTTCTGTTTGCCTAAGAACATATTCATGTCATGTCAAGGATTAAGAGTCTTTCTCTGTGACTGATGACGCATAATGACATGCAATGTACTTTGAAAGCATTCTGATCTATTTTCATTCCCACCAGGATCACAAGCCAGATGACACTGAAGCATCACATTCGCGTGGTCGACCAATTTCCCCAAGATTCGTTGAAATAAGACAGAAAACAGTAAGACATCGACACAAAAAGCCCCATGCCAAACTGAAAATACTAATGTGAGATGGGTACTCTCAACTGCATATGATAATAAAAGAACACGATTTTTCTCATCAGGATTCAAAGACACGCATCAAACTATTGTGCAAATGATAAAGAAAGAACATGACATGTATCTTCCAAGTCAATTTGCGCTCCTAATATTGCCAATGAGCTATTCCTATGTCAAGATTACGGTTGTAGTTGGAAGTCCTCGCTTCTGATGCAGTACCAATTAAGCTCTCCACAGAATTAAAAATCATATGCACAACTCATGCCACTTCATTTCAGTGCCATAAACAGCTAGGTGATACCTAAACTCTGAATATTTTTTGTCCCCGCCAGCAGTCTAGCCAAAAATGGTGCACATTTTTGGCTAAAACCACAGCTATCGCAGGAGCGGCTTTCTAATTTCATTCAGTGGCAGCTGTAACAAAACATTCTGATTTGAGCTGCAGTTTAAGAAAAGATGGCATTACGAGGTCTAGATTAGCTTTCAAAAATTAAAGGACTTAAGCAAATCACCTTTCTAGCCACCCATTGATTACTTGTCATGTTTATCCGAAAAATGTGGAAGCAATACAGTTGATTTAAGGACTTCCTCCACACTTCTGGTCTGGATCTCACACTGTTATCCACAATACAGTGGAAATCTTCTGTTGTTCTAAAGCCTCTACGGCGTAGACATCATCATCACCAACAATGACCGAACTGAAGTAATAAATTGCGGATGATGTTAAGGTACGAATTTGCAAGATGATTCATGAAGGCATAAAGTCAAACAAGGAAAGAGTCGCGACATGATTTGTACCGGGTTTCCACCGTTGATGATAATAATTTCAGCCTGGCAATACAGTTGATTTAAGGACTTCCTCCACACTTCTGGTCTGGATCTCACACTGTTATCCACAATACAGTGGAAATCTTCTGTTGTTCTAAAGCCTCTACGGCGTAGACATCATCATCACCAACAATGACCGAACTGAAGTAATAAATTGCGGATGATGTTAAGGTACGAATTTGCAAGATGATTCATGAAGGCATAAAGTCAAACAAGGAAAGAGTCGCGACATGATTTGTACCGGGTTTCCACCGTTGATGATAATACTTTCAGCCTGATCAAGGCCATATATCTTCCTTCAGAGAGAACAACCTTCACATTGGCATATTAAGTGACGAACAAAGTTTGATACAGAATTCATCATCTTGACATTAGTGCCCTGGCTTTGAGAAATTTCAGAACACGTCTATGGTACCTTCACTGCCTACTTCCATGACCAAATAACGAGTTAATAAAATGCACTCAAGATCACATATGCATGAGCAGTTTCCAGAATCCATCAGATAGTGAATTTCTCTACTTCATAGAAGTTGGAGAGGAAGTATTACTTTGTTTACACAAACGCAGATTGAAACCACATCGAGAACGAAGAATCTAGTACCGTTTGACTGAAGACATCAAATATCCTTCTGGAGGCAATCTGATCTTTTTCATATCATGATCATGAGCCAGATAAAACTGAAGCATTACAATTTCTTTGCTCAAACAACTTCCTCCAGTTGCTGGAATTAAGACAGGAAAATTATAACGTGTCAAAGAAAAGCCGCGTCCAAACTGAAAATACTAATGAAAGCAGGTAATCTCCACAGAAAACGGTACTATACCTGCTATATTTTTTGTTTAGTAGGAGACGTTAGCTATCTCCAGAATCAAATCTTTTTCTCTCCTCTCCATTTTCCTTCTACATGAGCTCTTAGTTTAAGAGGCAGCCGAGTGTCTCTTTTTTCTCCCCTTAAGCCGATGTCCACTTCCCTTCTTTAGTCGACTTTTCAACCTTCTCTTTTGTTTTTGTTTTTTTTTTTTCACAGGCCCCAGAATTGTTTTTTTTTACTTGTTCAAATCCCAAGTATTACAGTAACTTCATCAGGATAATTCAATTACAACATACTGCACCAAACTACCAGGGATAAAAATTAACACCAAATTAGTAACTCACCTACCAACCGGCAGGCTTCAACTTTAAACTTGCGGATGAACACCCCAGACAACCTTTTATGTATTACTGTAAAAATAGAGTACACTTGTTCAACAAAAGCGGATTTGAACAGTGACACATAATTATCTGCAACAATCAAATTGGACAAAACAAATGTCACTTATTTTACGGTGGCAACGTCTAAAGCCACCACGCTAAGCTCCAAAGATTGATGTTCTTCCTTAACATTCCCCAATCAAGCTTCCCAAACAGCACATATGGAGTTTTGCAGGTGAATTGGGGAGAGATTCCACGATGGAACAATGCAGCACCAGCGATCGAGGGCACAGCACAATCGTGGACCAACCTTCTTGCCCAACATGAGAAAAGAAAAATGTTGAAAAGCTAAGGAACAGACAATAAGTTGGCCAAAGCAGTCTCCACCCCTGCATCAAACACAACCCATTCTTCAACACCTTTATGTGAACTGAAATCTTCAGGTAACTTAAAAGAAAAGCCACTTACTGTCAGATTCAATCAGCTCTGTACTCTGAATTTCGCATTGGTGCGGGCAACAGTCGACTAGCATAGAGTTTGTAACCTTCAAAAAGCAAGACCATCACATTATAGAGGATCCATATAGAGGATGACAGAATGAAAACCAACCATGGAAATAGAAACAAATTCAATGGTGTTTCTGTTTCAACATTAGAAATCAAAAGGTATTTCCTGACTTTGTCAGCAAGACAATAATTATTTTGCTATAATTGGCCAAAAAATGCAAAGTTTTATGTTTTGTGAAGGTTTGAAGCACTGAGCATTGAACAAAAGACACATTGCAAATGCTAAAAACAATAGTATATATGAAAGTTAAAAAGCAAAAGTTCTTCCAAACACACCACAATGTCAGAGCCCGATAAGGAGCAATTCCATTCAACTAGGAAGCTAGCAAAGAAGAAGTAAGGAAAAAAATGAACAAGACATATCACCATCACAACAATTCGGACACTAGCGTCCTTTTCCATGTGAAATTAGAAGCCTTCAACACCATTTCACTTCGGTATTAGCTAAACTGGGATGAGTGAGGACATCCTTGGAGAATCTCATGAGAAGGAATTTCCACATACTCATGGAGAAAACGCTACTTTGGATCATAGTTACAAACAAAGTCTGGTCATTTCTTCATCAGCTTCCTCATCAACCTCGTCGGCTTCCTCATCAGACTAGTAGTTGCATTCCTCGTCGGTTTCCTCATCAACCTCGTCGACTTCCTCGTCAGCTTCCTCATCAGACTCGTAGTTCCATTCCTCGTCGGTATCCTCATAAAACTCGTCTTTGAATTCCTCATCAGACTCGTAGTTAAATTCCTCGTCGGATGGTAAAAAGTCTGGTAATTTCTTGAGTGACTCGCACCCATCCCTTTTAAAGCGCTTTAGGGATTTACTAGGGCAGCGAATTTCAACTAAGCTTTTGCAATCACTAACAATCAACTCCTTCAGATGCTCCGACTTTGAAAGGTCCAGTACTTCAATGCGCTTGAGCCAACAGATGCTCAACACTTCCAGGGATCCCAATTTTTCAAGGCCTCCTATCGCATGGAGATTATCTTTCCCTTCTTCAAAACGGAAATACCCTAGGTCTCCGAATAGGCGCAACACTCTTAGGGATTTCAAAGCTTCCAATCCATCCAATTCCTTCAGCCCATGGCAGTCCACGAGCACTAATTCCGACAAAAATTCCAAATCGGAAAGATTTGGCAACCTTTCCAATTTGGGGCATCCCCTAACGACAAGCTCCTGTATGCAGGAGGGAAGCTCTGGGATGCTTTGAAGAGACTGGCAATTTTCAAGGCAGAGATACTTTAGATGCTTGAGGTGAGAGAGCGATGGCAGCTCATTGCTCCGACAGGTGAGATGCAGGGATGATAAGCTAACAGGAGGTTTTGGGAGTGACTGAAGCTCGCTACAGTAAGATAAATCGAGGTGTTCGAGAGAAGAAAGCTCACTGATATTTTCGGGCAAGCGAGAAAATTTTGTTTGACATAAACGAAGGGTCTTTAGAGAAGACAATCCACCTTTATCAACATGAATTTCTCCTTCCAGTTCAGAGCATGCCCAGGCATCGAACACTTGGAGGCTTTGCAATTTTCCAATAGAGCTCGGTAACCTTTTTATCCTCCGACTCAATTGAATTCTTAGAATTTTCAATTTGTTCAATTCTCCAATAGATTCGGGTAATTCTTCAATCCCAGAACATGACAAGTCCAGCAGAACCAACTCTCCCAACTTCCCAATTGAAGAAGGGATTTTTAAGCTCAAATTTGTATACGTCGCACGAAGATTCACACAAAGCTTCTTCAGCTTCTTCAGAGATCCTATAGATGGAGGGATTTCTCGTATATTAGCGTGGTCTACGACAAGTTCCTCCAAATGTTCTAGTTCGCCCAGTTGTTTGGGTAACTTCTCGAGACTCTTACACCAGCTCAAGTTTAAGGAAACAAGGCTCTTGACATCTCCAATGGAAGGATCGATTTCCTCCAAATAGGGACAATCTTCCAGGATTAGCATCTCCAAATTTTTAAACGCGGAGAGATTAGGGGTGCTCTTTAATCCCCAGCACTCTGAAAGATTGAGAACTTTCAACCTCTCCATCTACAAGAAATAAACATGTTCCAAGATCAGTAGTTAGATAATAGAATGATTTACCATCAAATGCAACAAAAGAGAAAGCCTTTTTCATCTTTACCTTAATTGAATTCCATCCTCTCCAATTTTCACTAATACGATTTCCACTAGTATAACCACCTGATAAATCAAGTATCAGCAATTTCTCTAAATGAACGTTGGTTGCCTCGAAAGAGTTGGGACAGCTCTCCCACTTGAGCCATCTTAATTCAGAAAGTGATTCTTCAAAATCTCCCACAAAACCCACAGCCCTCAAATGAAAGAACTTCAGGTTAGGCATTCTTTTGAAGCTCTCTCGCTTCATGAACTCTCTAGAGCCCCTTTCGTCCAGACGTAGTGCCTCGATATTTTCATTTTCCTCCTACAAAAAATTAAATTAAATTAAGGGTTGTAAATACCATCTAACCTCCTTTTGTTAGTATACTCTGCATGTTATTGATGCCTATGCATTTTGTCTACACTTGTAGGAAAAAAGAAATATAAGTGATCTTTTATTATTAGGTGATCATGTAATATGTCAATTTTCACTCTTATGTCCCAAGTTTTGATGTTTTAAGTGAAATTCCTATATGAAATTAGTCGAGGTTTCTTAAAAATTTTGAAATTAAATTTAGGAACATACTTAGTATTGATGACTGACTAAGTATGGTGTCCCTTTGACATATCCGAGAAGTGTTACACATTTCAAAAATAAAAAACACCTAATTAGGCTTATGCATTCATAAAGCATGACAACTCATTCCCTTCCCATTCATAAAATATTTTTGGTTTTGGCATATGGCTGGATGGAAATGAGAATTTGGTCTATTGAAATGGAGACTTCGTTTTTGGATATTCAAGCTGAAAGCTCAACAACTAATCCTTAGACGAGGGACAAATTGTCCAATCAATTCTAAACTTTTCAATTTTGCCAATTTCGTCTTAAAATCGTTTCATGACATTCCAATGTAGTTATTGTGGCTAATTTTTGTAGGAAATTGCTAATGCGACAGTGTGCCATGTAGGACAACCGTAAATGATTATGGCGAAAATTAATCGGAAGGACTACATTGGAATTTTGCACAAAAGTTTAGAACTAATTAGCAAAATTGATAAGTTTATGATTGAATGGACATTCGCACAACAAATTTAGGACTGATTGGGTAATTTTCCCTTAGATGAGCACACTACTCAATTAGTCATCATTGAATTTGCCCCACTTAGTCATAAAATTCGGCCCAATCTTAAGAATTTGTTTGTGCATTTTTGCTTTCACCAATTCATGCAAAAATATATGAATTAATAAATAAAGGTTGGCGATTATTATCGTTTACCTCTTTTTGCATTCTCTCATTTATTTTTTTCTCCTCAAGTTATCTCATTTGATATGTTAATTATAATGTTTTTCTTCGCTAATATCTAACAATAGATTTTTGTCTCTTCTTTGTCAGTGTATGCGCGTAAAGACACAATTATATTTACCAAGAAGGCTTGTTCATTACAGAATAGAGGTGGATATCATATTACACTAAAGACAAATAAAACGAGAAGAACGCAATTTCTTTCACCTTTCATTGCTCCATCACTTACTTCCTACAATCATTTAATTTCTTAATTTCGATCTTTGCTTTTTGGTTTTTTTATTGGAAATTACTTTGTATGAATATGTACAAAATCATATGGCTGTTGTTATTTAGTTTCTTATGTTGTAATTTACTGTTGTTTGATTTTGCACATCATTAGTTAGTGTTGAATTATGTGCTCAAAATATCTATGACTAGATCCGTGCATAGCACCAGGATAAACACAAGAATATATCATGAAAGCTGGGTAGAAATAGAATAGCCTTGTGACGTCTCATCACGTTTCAAAATCCTGTGAGTTCTCATCTTTCATATGAATGAACATGATTGATCCATCGTACACGTGCAAAGCTCATAATTAAAACTAAAAATCGTTAATTATGCCACTTCCTCTATAATTAATGTATTTTGAACAATCTTCCAATTTTTTTTATGTAATTTGTTAATTTGACTGTAAATTGATATAGGCGACAATAAAAGAAAAGCCAAAAGAGAATTTGAATTAAATTTTTATTTTTAAATTTACCAGTCCTTTAAGTGAAAAGAAAAATAAGAGTTTTCTATTTATTATTGACTAAGAGTCATCCAAGTTATGAAGTGCTGTTTCCAGTTATCAACTAACCCAACCATGTTATTAACATACTTATGTATTTCTAAATTACTCAAAAAAATTGATATATTTCATGGTGCTTTCTTCAATTACGTTAATAACATTCACTGAATAATACTATTTAAACTAAATCTTTACTTTTCATTGTATTAAGTACACGTAGTTCTACATTTACATTATCATATTGGATTTACATCGTGAACATGCATAATAAATCCTAGAAAACAAATTGTAAAAATTCTTCATACGTATAAAACCACTGCATAACGTCTTATTACTTGAAATTGAACATAATCTTAAGTTGATAGCCAATAGTTGAGGTGCAAATAACTTAACTGAAATCTTTCTTTTTGTTGCAAAAAAAGTAGACCCCGCACACGAGCAAATTGCATGCATTCACGGTTGGAATTTGAAGATAGAATAATTTTTGGAGAAGGAGACTTATCACATATATCATATGAAAGTAAGTTCAAGAGTGAACAAGGTGGATGATATGTGATCCATGTATTTATCCTCACACCAACGTACTTCAAAAATAAATTGATGATATATTTTGGGAAAAGATAGAATGAAAGTCAACAGAGTAATGATCAACAGTAAAGCTTTTGTTGTTTGGTTGAATAATATAAACCAATCGGCATAAGGTTATAATGACTCTTAGTGTGAGGGACCGGATTTATAAGTGGCTTAAAGTAAACTTTCAAACCTGTGTGATGCTCGGTCTTCAACAAGTAATATAGTAAGAAGCAGTATTAAATCTGCTAGAAAATGATTTTAAAACGACACAAGCAAAATAGAAAGAGTTAATAATACACAATTTTAATAGCTCTTTTATGAGCCTCATAATCACGAATGCAAACTTTTCATGGACTAAAGGCCGAAATTGGGTGTAGCTTTTACCAAGAAAATGCTAACAACATGTTTAGAATGGTCAAAGACATAGAGAAAAAGAAAAATAACAATAATGATTTGAGGGACTAACATTAGAGAACATGGGAGAGGCCAAAAGGAGACATAATTGTTACCTTGCGATCTAGAACTTTCATGGCTTCCTCGTCCCATAGCCTGCTGCATTTCCTCGGCTTCTTATCTACTGGACGGGCGATAACTCTACCTAGATCTCTTAATTGATCATGCATTATGAACTCATTGTTGTCATTGCACTTTATTAACATACGCTGAGTCATTTTTGCCAATGCAGATAGCGGATATAATTCAAGATCATCCCACATGTAGATGGCGAATCTTTTATCAAGTCCAATGAAAAAACATGCTATGTCAAGAAAGATTCGTTGTTCATTAGATTCTAACGCATCATAACTTATCCTCAACTTTTGTTGTACTGTCATATCAGGTGCCTTTGTGAATTTCTTTAGCATTTCTCTCCATTTTCTTTCATCTTCTTCTCCTTTGAGGAGTGAACCTATAACCATGAGAGCTAAGGGAAGCCCTCCTGTGGTGGCAACAATATCAGTACAGATAGTCGCGAGTTCTTTGGAAGGTTGTTCCCCTTCAAATGCATATCTACTAAATAGAAGCAAAGAGTCTTTGCGATTCAGTTCTTTGAGTTCATACTTATATTCAGACTTCAAGAGGGCCTTATCTCGACTTGTAACAATGATCCTACTTCCTGACATGAAACTACAACCTCCAATCAATTTATCGAGATGGTCTTGACAATCCACATCATCAATAAGAATAAGTACCTTCTTTTCTGTGCAACGGGATCGGATCGTATTTATTCCTATATCATAATTCGGCACTTGATAGTCATGAAGTTTTAATACATCTGAGATCAATCGAGATTGCACATGCTCGATACCTTTGCCATTAATTGTTTCTCTAACATCCTTGAGAAAGCTCCGACACTCGAATTTGTTAAAAAGTTTGTTATAGATAATCGTAGCCAGAGTTGTCTTACCAATGCCGCCGATCCCATAAATCCCAATAATACGAGTGTCTGGACGATCAGTATCCATCAATTTCATAACCTCAGCCACACGATCATCAATTCCAACCAAGTTCGCAGGAAGACATGGTTGAAAATCATGTTGCTGGTCTCGCATTATTATTTCTACGAGTTTATTTACTAATTCCGCTTCATGCCTGTCAAACGACACAACACATGACAACTTATTAATGGCTCCACAAAACAAGGATTAAGGATGATAAATAGAAAAATTCTTCTTTCGACGAGGATCAATTAAAAGAAGTTAAACGACGTACCCATCAGCAAATTTCCCTGATTCAAATACTCTAGAATCAACTGCTTTTCTGAGCGCTTCCGGTCCTCGTTGCTTGACATCCTCCTCAAAACGATGCATTCTGTCATTGAAGGCCTTTCCAAATTTTCCCAGCATGTGTTTCACATCCTTGGGTTCCACTCCGTAAAGCACGGGCAGGACTATTTGTCCTCTGCTTTCCTTGCACTCCATAATATGAACGAGTTCGCGGAGGCACCATTCGCTAGCAGCATAATTTTCTGAGATGATTGGGATTGAAACCTTAGAGTGCTCAATTGCACTGAGAAGATTATCAGCAATTGGCTCACCATAGCGGAGGTTCTCATCATCTCTGAACACGAAGTTTGGACGGTGCAGGCCCACTTCTACGAGTCTATGGTAGAGGTGATCGGTGAAGGTTCTGCGAGTATCGGAACCTCTAAAGCTCAGGAATACGTAGTAATTGTTTCCTATCGCAGAGGTGGACGAAGCAGATGGGTCAGAATTCGCTCCGTACGCCAACGGCACGTGGATCTTCTCCGATGAGTCCGAAGAGGGAAGAAGAAGAGGCGATTCGCTCACGCGCTCGGGCTGTAAATCAGACCTTTCTTCGAGGACGTCAGGTCTTGGTCGCTTCGACATGGTCGGAGTCGAAGCAGCTTGGGTGGGTTCAGCTCGCTTGAGTTGTCGTGTCGAGGGATGGTCTTCCATTGCAGCGCACGACTCTCTCTCTCTCTCTCTCTCTCTCTCTCTCTCTCTGTGAGACTCACAGAGGTGGATGAAGCAGGGGCTTTAGCGTGGGTGAGAACAGAGGTTTGGTTGTCAACCAGGAAGAGGGCTCCGTTCGGCTGCTAGGGTTTGAGCTGGGTGGGAAGCGTCGCTGGTAAAGAGGCAAAAGGGCAAGGAGGAGGCGAGACCTGATTATTCGACTTTTATGGACGTTTTATTATTATTGCATGCGTAATTTCCGCAGCATTGCGCGGAAGGTGCGTAGTTTGAAAGCAAGCACGGCTTGACTTCGACTTGGCTTGCTTTTTTTTATTAATAACATAATTAGAAAATAAAAGGCAAAGGGCAATTATTGCAGGCGTAATTTCCACAGCATTATGCGGAAGGTGCGGTGAACCTACCTATCCATGTGCTCCTTGACTTGACTTTCTTTTCCAAGTAAATAAGAAATTGAAAAGAAGTTCAAAAGAAAACCAACGAGCAATACTGATGCTCGGAGTAAGTTATAAATATTTGGTGATACTTTTTTCGGGAAAATTGGGTGGCCACATGTCTACACCTTAGAGGCTCCCTCTCCATGCACCAATTATATGCAATCTCTCTGATTAATGAGTTACAAATATAAACATCAATCATATTTAATTTTAATTAAGGTTACCAATCAAACATATAGTTTGAGGAAATTTTTTCCAACTAGGTACGAAAGAAAAAGTGACATCACTTGACAATGAGGAAAATCACTTCAAATTATATACATTATGATGACACTCATGGGCTCAATGCATTTGGAAAAAGAATGGGAGATCTCATCCTTACATTTTAGGGAATGTTTCATTCTATCCTTCATAACTTTGAAGTCGGTGTTTGTCAAATCTCAAACTTCAAAAAGTCGCACCCCCTGCTGTCTAACCCAAATTTGTATTTTGTTATGTTCATTAACATTGCTAGCTTTTTTCCGTCAACATGTACTTGTGCACATGTTTTTGTGAGATAAATAAGTTATATATCCTACATAATCTATAATGATTTTGCCAATAATAAACACCGTTTATTAAAAGATAAATTTTTAATATGGCACGCATCGATGGTTTAATTGATGATGGATTACCGATGATGATGGGATTTTATTTGTTGCATTTGTGTCACATCTCGCATCACATCTATAGTGAATTACAAATTATCTTTGTGCTAAGTTAAAGGAGTGCCTTGTTGGCTTTTTTGGCATCGTAGAAATCATATTTACAGAAAGAATAGTACATCTCCTTTCGGATGCTTTCTTCCCCCGCCCCCCACCATTCCTTCTCTTTCCCTTTATCCTTCCTTTTTCTTTAATTTATTTTCGTTATTTTTCCTTTTCTTTCCTACCGAAAGAACCCACTACTCCTTTCGTGCGAGGCCACAACGAGAGAGAGAGAGAGAGAGAGAGAGAGAGAGAGAGAGAGAGAGAGAGAGAGAGGGGGAGGGGGGGGGGGGGTTGTATCTCAACTAGATCGGAATGAAAAATGACCAAAACCACTTCATTCACAGTTAATTTGGCGAAGGATGATGAATGGTGATCTCGTGATTAGAGTCACAAGCAATGCATTGTGACAAGCAATTACACCCTACACTGCATCTATTGGAGGCTTTTTCTATCGTTGTATTATACAAATTGAAAAATCTGTCTTTCTATCTCATGAATCGAGGACACACGCCTATCTCTCTCCCTTTCCTCTTTTACTTTTCTTCTACTCAATGTCCGTGAACAGATGCGGTGAAACTCAGAGGCCTCTCTACTTCACTCACTAAAACCTGCAGTCCCTCCGTCTCATCTTGAATTCAGAGTGCTTGAGTGAGCTGTAAAGAAACACACATAATATATTATCTGAGTGCTCCCAAGGCACCTTTGTCACTTTCCTCATCCGTTCGTACCGCTCTTCTTTCCATGTCTGCAAAGTCACGAGCCTCTTCTTTTTGGCGTCAATGTGAAACACGCTGATCTCCTCCAGCTGTTCAAAAGAAAACAAACAAAGGAAAAGAGGCTTAAACCACCCGAGAAAATCTGTACGTTCCCCGAATTGTCCCTCCGAAGTTTTGTCCGAGTAGCCTTAATTCGCTCTAATTCAAGTTCTGTGCAGACCCGTAGAAATTGACAAGAGATAACGTAATCCTTATCTTCGACGAAAACAATTATCACAAATTGACATCGACTTGTCAAGGCTACTGACTATCTCTGCGCCATCTTTGTAGCGTCGCTGGTAAAGAGGGAGATGGGAAATCTGGAGACAAGGCAGGAAGATGAAGTAAATTTGTCATTTCATATATTTTATATGTTCGGATTGGGAATTTGAGATGCCTTCTTATAGTCTAAAAGCAAGGTGAAAAATAGGAAGAAAAAGAACATAATAGCTATACCGACACTAATTATATTCATATGCCTCTTGAACTAAAATTAAAAATTAGTTCAATTACAGTGGAAAAGCAAAAGGAAAATTTTTCAAAAGAAAAGTAAGATAGATGTCACTCATGGAAAGTGTCATATATCAGCCACCATTGAAAGTATTTTGGAGAACCATTTTTACATTTATCTAATAAGATAGATCCACTATATTGATTTTAGATCTATATGCGAAACCTATTTCATTTTAGAAGTATAATTCATTGCTCTAACGAATTATGCTCTCTTTTTGTGTGCAAGCACGTCCACAATTTACTTGTAACTAATTTATGGACTTTAATAAAATGAAAAAAGATATTAAGTTTAACTGTTGGACTCTCATGTTCTCAGTTCTCTTTGATTTTTGGCCCAAATGATGCCACCAATTTTGCGAGTTTTTAAATTGGACAACTAACCATAATGCCCCGGACAAAGCAAATTCAATTCAGTCGACCATTCTAACCTCTCAAATGAAGAGGGAGTACAATAGAGACGACGATCACCATCCCATTACTAAAAAGCATAGATTCATCCATTAATTTTCTCATCCGCCCCACCTGCTACTCTTTCTTTCCGAGCCTCCAAGGCCCATCAACCTCTCATTTTTTGGTGTCGGTCAATGTGAAACACACTGAGTTTGCCACCAGCTGTCCGGTGGCCTTCATTCCTCCGATTCAACACTTTCGCACTGCATATTCACATTGAATTATCCACCAGAAATCTTGTCTTACACGGAAACATTTATTAGAAATCAACGTCGACCTGCCTAAAGGGCACTACTTGGGACTTGGGAGAAATGCCATAAATGATTTCCCAAGAAAATGAAAGATGAGGAGCTCCTGAAAGTCATACGTGAAAGCTAAAACAACATAATGTTTTACCGACCTTGAATTGCATCACGTAGCATCCGACCAACTATTTTTAAGGTTTACTAGAAAATCTCAGTTAATCCAACGAGAGTGCTTCGATCCTAAAGTGGTTAGCTCGAAAGCGATGTGCTCTGCCAATCTATGTCATCCCTACATCTGTTGAGTTTTGGACTTTAATAAAGAGAGCGCGAGAGTAATGAAAATGAAAAAAAGAAGAAAAAAATTGAATTCCTTTCATCTAAACCTTTTCAAGTGTCGGCACAATGCAAATATGTTTTTTTTTGGTCTGTACGCAAAGGTCCTTCCATGGTCCCTAGACGACGAAAATGTGGACCGTGAAATGGTTCTGTTAACTACGTGGTCGACAAGTCCAGCTAGGAACATTCTAGGAAAATTATAATCCTTCACAGAGAAGTCATGAAGAAAAAGTTACTTAAAAGTAGCGAGCACCGAAAATTACCATTCATAAAAATTTACTAATGATAGAAGCCTCGTGGTCGCAAGCACTTGCAGAGAATTGCGATCTCATTCTCATAGATAAGAAAAAGCGGAAAAGTGAATTGATGAATTTTCTATATATTTCAATATACGTTGAAAAAGAATACGTTAGCATATTTATAAGCTTTATTATATGACTATTTAGGATAACATATTAATCAAGATATGCACAATCAAATAAAGATGTATACACAATGTTGAGACAAATAAAGAATCAACATAATTATCATAATATCTATAACATAAAGAAATCCCTAATTATCTTTCACATCATATACGGAATTTATCTACTAGTAATAGATAGATCCGTCGCTAATACATGCACATGAGGAGAACAATGATTTCATTGGTGAAATTACTAACCATAAGAATCCCCAAGGGCCAAGGTATGAGCATTTCGAGGAAAATTACAATCTCATAGAAAAATTAGCAAAGATAGGACTTTTAAGTTATGAGAACTAACGAAAATTCTTTCAAAAAGTAGCTAAGACAGGTACATCCAATTTACGAACACTTGAAAAATATTATTGTCCTTATGAAAGATTTGCTACTAATAGGTATTGTTGAATATATGTGGCCGATTGTGGAGAATTGGACAATCGAGATCTTATGGACAATCTATAAGAAAGAAACATGTTGCAAGCTTTGATGTTGGATGTAGACGATTGTAAATATCAGCACAAGGCATTGCCTGAACATGACAGGAATAAATTGTCATGAAACTACGGTTGTGCGTAGCGACGATTACATGCAGAAACAGTTCTACTCGAAATGATTTTTTATTACGTGTCGGGCGGTTTTGAGCGTTTTAAGGCGTTTGTTACGGCTCAAAATTTCCATTCCTGGAATAGAAAAAGAACAGAAATGCGTTTGGTAATGCTACAAAATTTCTTTTTATTAATAATATTTTTAATTATTTAAATATTTCTTTCTTTCATTTTTCTTTTTTTTTCTCCTCCTTCTTGACCATGCCCTGCTGGCGACCGGCCATGGTCGGTAAAATAATTTTTTTATTAAAAGTATTTTTTTCTTTTTTTTGGCTGTGGCCTGGTCGCCGGCCATGACAGGTAAAATATTTCTTTATTAATAATATTTTTATTAAAATATTTTTATTAAAAATATATTTTTTCTTTTTTTTTGCCATGGCTTGGTCGCCGGCCATGGCCGGTAAAATATTTTTTTATTAATAATATATATTTTTTATTCATGACCTGGTCGCCGGCCATGGCCGGTTAAATATTTTTTTATTAATAATATATTTTTTTTGTTCATGGCCTAGTTGTCGGCCATGGCCGATAAATTTTTTTTTATTAATAATATTTCTTATTAATAATAGATATTTTTTGTTCATGGCCCGGTCGCCAGCCATGGCCGGTTAAATATTTTTTTATTAATAATATATTTTTTTTTGTTCATGGCCTGGTAGCC